GTGTTTATTGGTGGTGGGAACAAGCTCCGCTTTTTCATGGGGTGCTAGTGCACCCGCACATGGAAGCTCAGCGGAGGGAGTGGCTTTTCCAGAAGGGCCGAGGGAAGGCTGCATCCTAGCTGGAGCATGTGTCCTGTGGAAGCACTGAGTGGGCAGGGCATCTCCATTACCAGCCCTAGACGGGCAGTGCCCAAGGGTTTTTGAGGGCAGAGCAGGGCAGGCCCATGGGACATGGGAACACGCAGCTCCAGGGATCCCTGCATGAAGTTGCAGAGCAGGTGGTATTGCAGCGTGTCATGTTTTGGATGCTGAGGGGAGCTTGCATAGCCCCATTCTCTGGTCCCCCTTGCACGCCAGAGGTGCTGCCACCCTGTGTGGGAGCCTACATCTGTGCTTGCCAGCTAACTGGGCGGACTACATAGGTCTGTTCAACATGGACCCAGCACTTGTTCCCCTCTGCCCCCTTGTCCTGGGTTCCCCCTCCTGTTTCTCATGCTCTCTGTGCACTCGGAGGTCTCCTTCACTGATCTGACATCTTCTCTTCCCTGCCCTGTGGCTCAGCCTCTCCACCTCTGTAGCTCGGCCAGCATGGGTGCCCTGTTCTGTGTGCTGTCCTGCTGCCCTTGCACTAAGCGTGATTTCACTCTGTCAACGAGGGATCTGTTGTGCTGTGGCCTGAGGAGGTGATTCCTCCCAAGCTGCAAGTGCTTGGCTGAGCGGCTAGGGCATGGCTGTGAGGAAAGACAGAACCACGATTGTCTGACATGTTAGCTGCTGGCTGTGTGGTTAACCTCCTTAAGTCCAGCTTCATATTCAGCTCCTGCCGATGCCAGGGAAGCTCACAGCTGAACAAGCCAGTACAACGGTGCTGCAGCTGACTCATGCCAGAGCTGGTTCCAGGTGATAGGTGCATACTGCTCTGTCCCTCGCATGAGTATTTTCCCACATGTGTCGGGAGCAGGAGTCTTCCTGATTCTTGCAAACCCAGTCCCTGCTCCTTCTCTCATCCTGCTCTTAGCTGGTTTGACTCCAGGGATGACAAGGTAGAGAATCCAGCCCCCAACATTTAACCGGTAGACCATATTTACAGTTGGACTAACTTCATCTAAATGATTGTGACCCTGTATGCACTTGTAGGGACTGCAATGCCGCTTCCCATTCTGTGCTACACAAGGCAGCGAAGTCAGCACGCTAATCCCTGGATCACTTGTGCTTTGCTGCAACGTAATCATACCTTTGGCTGTTAAAGAGCTTGTAGTCTCCTATGCTACAGGCTTGGGCTGCATGAATAGTCCATGCCATGAATGTAGTAAAATCTTAATCGGCTGCTCGGTGTGGTAGCATGAAAACATGTCACGTATATGCCTGTTCCCACCAGTTGTTCCTCATAATGTAATAACGTCACCATGTAAGAGGGTCCCTGCTCAGACCTGGCTGAAATACCTATGTTTTCTCATAACTGTGTTGCAGCCCTTTGCTCTGGCATTTGGAAAGAGGCTGGAGGTTAAGATACAAGAATGTCCAGTACAAATATCACCCCGGGTAGAGGACCGCAGCCTCCTTGTCGTATCTCTGCTTCCATCTGGTGGACAAATGCTAGCTGCTGGTCTTTTTCTGTGGGGCGCGGTACAGGTTCCAAGCTCGGGAATTTTATCCATCCCTCTTTTCAAAGGTCTTTGCAAACGCACCTGGCCTTTGGGACCCAGGTCCGAGCTTTGTGGGGATTGGCCCTACCTGTCATCAAAACCCGCTAGCAGCTTGCAGGGTAGTGAGGGCAGCATAGTCTGTTCAGCTTGTTGCATGCTGTATCATCCGTGCCTTGTACCAGCCAGCAGGAGATGCAGAAGTTTCCTTTCCTTCCTGGTAGGTGACAGGTCAGAGGTGCTATCCCTGCAGGTAGAATAACCCGATTGCAAACTTGCTGTGATAATGCTGCTCCCTGGCACTTATCCATTTCCTTTCTAGTTCATGTATTTTGTGTCTGCACAAGGATGTGCTGCCTTGCTGGCACCGGAGTTTGTACCAACTAAGTCAGAGGTTAACCAGGCATTTAAGTACCTGTATGAGAACGTGGAAGATGGGGGAATGATGATGTGTGTAGGCTTGTAAGCACACTGTTGTGGCTGTATTGCATGTACTTGAAGGCTTTCCATCTAACATATCACTGATAGCACCTGCACCCAGGATTTCTCTGGTATGGCAATGGCTAGGAGATTTTCCTGTCTTTTTTGCATGGGGAATGAAGAGACTGCAGTAGGACTGAAGCGGGAGCAGAATTATCTGATTCTTTCTGATCCTAGCAAAGAGGGTAGAGTTTTGCTGGGTGACATGATCCAGCTGCAATCTTGGTGGCTATCGAGGACAGCAGAAAAATCCTGGTCATGCTAATTCAGTGCTGGATTCCTAGTTGAGGGTTTTGTTTTGTTTTTTGCTTTTCTCCATGCATCCGAATTGATGCTCCAGACCCGATGTTCTGTGTCATGCCCTTGTCAGAAAATTGGTATTCCTGCCGTGAAAAGAGGCTGTGTTAGCAGAGCAGTCAGCATGAAGGAATCGGTAATATTCAGATACTTCATTGAGTCCCATGGAAATTCCTGGAATATTTTCCCCAGGGTGGCACCATGGAAATGCTTTATTTCCTTGCGCACTCTTGGGAACACACACATTCCCAGACCAGATAAACCCTCTTGCCAACAAATCAGTAGCCTACCCCACAGTGACAAATCGTTGATGCTTCAGAGCAACTCACACACTTCCCATACCAGTGTACCCACCCAGCTGTGCAGTCGACGGCTCTGGAGAGCAGGCCGAGTGTGCGTGTGCACGCGTGTGTGTGTGTCTCTAATTCCTGCTGCCTTCCAGGGTTGATCAGCTTACCTGAAAAGCATAAGGTTTAACTATGACTCTTTATGCCCTGTCAGCAAACCCCACTTCTGTCCCAGCGCTGCGTCTGGTTTCATTTGCCATTTAGTTCCTACAGTGAAGATGCTTTAAGGACCAGTTCAGCCTGCAGAGACCTGGCTGGGCCTTGTCTGGATTGCAGAGGTGTGCTGGCAGGACTCAAGTTCTGCCCTCAGTTTCTCAGGTAAATCATCTTGCCCAACCCTTTGCGTGAAAGGGGCTGCACGAGCCTGACTTCCCAAGAGACTGCATTCGCCATTGCCAGTGAGCTGCTGCAGCAGGAATAGGAGCCAGGAGTTCCCCCATTAAACCCCCTCTAGATGGTTGGCTTTGCCTCTTCTCCTGTCATCTGGTTCCCCACTCAAGGGGGAATTTAGCATGGCAGGGATGGGCCTCAGAAGGGAGAATACATACCTAGCTCCTAGAGACCTCCTGATGGAACAGGCTATACGTAAGTCCTAGGTCGTAATATTACTGTGGGCATTTTGCAGTGCATCAGGTACGTAACAAAGTGAGCCCTTTCCTGTGGACACTAAGATGCGTCTTTACCCCCCAATCAAAATAGCTTGCTCCCTTCTGTCATTTTAATAAGTGGGATCTATTAGCATAGGTGTTGATGACTGACCAGCTGTTCTTGGGCCTTGCCTACATCGTGAGGCTGCTGCTGCTACAGCTGTGCTGGCATAGCTGCATCACCAGAGCCTCCTGCTGGAGATGTGGTAAATGAGGGCAGAGGATTTTTCTCCATTGGCTGACCTGTGAATGACACAAATTCCATCAGCAGAAGCTTTTTTTTTTTTTGCCATAGTGACATCCAGTTCTGCTGGCTTTGCTGTGCGATCTAGGGAAGAGTACAAGTGTTCATTCTGCATGGATTAGCCACTGGGATTACTGCCTCTGGAAGATGTCCTTTATGTTAAAAGGGGCAGGGGCAAGCAGAGCTTGTCCTGAATTTAATACTTCTAAGGAATGAATTAAGCGGAATGTTGTTCAATTAAAAAGCAAGTCGTAGAAGTGAAGAGAAATTTGATGAATGGAGAAATGAAGTCCACCCAGAGCTGACTGTCTCGGTGGAAATTCCTTGGAGTTCGGGCAGCTCCCGCTGTCTGGTTTGGCTTGGAAAGAATCCGGACTCCAAACTTGCTGCTCCTTCCTCTGAGCTTTGGGGATGGAAGATGGGGCTGACACAGGACTCCCCCCGCCTCTGGAGGGCTCTGTGCACGCGATGGGATTTGTTCACATACATCCAGGGGCAGAAAGCCAGATGAAGAGCTGAGCTGCCATAACGATCGGGGTGCTCGGCTTGAGGGCATGTGATGCAGGCCAGGTCTCTGCTGAAATGCTCACCTGAACCAAGGTCTTGTTCCACTGCAGACTTGTGCATCTGTTGCAAACCCCACAGTATGGCATTAGTGCCCGGGGGCCAGGGGTTTGAAAGCCTTCAGAATCCATGGTGAAAATGGCCAGGCTAGTGGAGTGAAATGCAAGCATAAACGAAGTATGTAACTTGTGTGGAGCAGTGGCGCCCAAGCTGTGGCCCCAGGGTCTGGATGAATGGCATGGGGTCAGGCCTTGGGCATGCCCCCTTGCGGTTCTGCTCCAGCTGCATGCCCTGATCCAGCCCTGTGCTGCCTGATCTGGCTGTAGGCCAAGCCACTCAGGCCCTGTGCCACCCACCTTTGGATCCAGCTCTGCATTGCCCCAAACCTCCTGCCTGCCACCCCAGTCTGGCCTTGCACTCCCTCCGCCTGTTAAATCCAATCATCTGCTGCCCCTGGCACGGAGGTCATGCTTTGGCCTGCAGGGCTCCCCTCAGGTCCAGCAAGTTGGCAGCAGGGGAGTGGCAGCGAGCGCTGCCTCTGCTTCTCCACCACTGCATTTCTGGACCCTTGAGAAGCCCTGTGGGCAGGATGACGCAGTTCCGCCAGCTGGATCTGGCGTTTGGGCTGAGGGCTGAGCCGCCCTGATGTGCAGGAAAGAGCAGCCTGTTTGCCGCGGTGCGTTGTCTTGGCAGCGGAGGTAAGGAAAGTCGGGGTACAAATGAAATGTGGTCTGTGCTGCTTTAAAAAGATCTTTTTTTAATCCTCTTCCTTGGTTAGATTCTCAGCCACCGTTTCCTGCTGATGTCACCATCATCGCTGCCCCCGAGAACACCACCGTGGTAGCTGGCGAGAGCGCGGTGATGGAGTGTATGGCTTCCGCCGACCCCACGCCATTCGTCTCTTGGATACGCCAGGGTATGTGAAACAAAGCCAAGGAGCCTTTTGATGTCAAGAGGAACCTACAGACGCTTTTATTTTTGAAATCCATTAAAAGGGAAAAGGTATGTGGGTGCCCAACATGGGTGCCATAGCTGAGGCAGCTCGAGTATCTTTTCTGAGGTGGGGATCCCTAATTAAGTCTGCAGTGCTACAAAGCTTGCCATTTATTTTGTAGCCGTTTGATCTGTAAAGTATACACAATTCTGGTTACTGGATGCCTTTTGATCTAAATTGGTCATGGTCATATTGCATGAGCCCGAGCTTTTGAAGGTCAGCGCGTGGCACTCGGCTTCCCAACACTTCTTTTGTAGCGGTTCCAGAAGGTTAGTGGGAATTCCATCGTGGCGGCTGTTGCTTTGCAAAAATAACCTGTGTTACCTCGCCGGCTCGCCCAGCATGAGAAATATCTTTTCAACATTTAAGAGCCTCCTATAAAAAAATAAAAATAAAATCCCCATTATGGGCATGCTGGTTTGGCCGACTCAGTGGGGGTTGAGTCTGAGCAACAGTATTTTTAAGTGCGTGCAGATGTACTGGTGATGTACATGCAGGAGCAGGCTGCTACTATCACAGGGGCTGTGTTAGGTGTTTCAGAAGCACTGGAGACGGTTGACTTGGGCTGTTCGCAGTCTCTCTCCAATTAGCTCAGATTTGGGGTGCAGGGTTGTTATGGTGCTTCACAGGTACGTAGGGACTGTGGGCTTGTAAGTCTGCAGAATCCCAGGATGAAAGCTTTTGTCTCAGGAGCAATCCAGTGTGTTATTAGCCTTAGCAGGCAATGTTTTTGCATTTGTAGCCACCCTGCAAAAATAAGCAGCAGCTCACAGGACCCAGCATTGCAAATTCAAAGCAGGGCGGTTAAATCATTCAGGCAGAAATGCTTGCCTTTCATCCCATATATTGAAGACATAATTAGCTGTACCCAGCTTTCCCATGTTTCCTGAAGTATTCATTGCTATGCTCCGGAGGGAGCGAGGTCTGCATCGCTGAGTTGCCGGTTCCTCCAGGATTGGTACTGAGTCCTGGGGTGTCATCTGGCGGCCAGAATATAACATCTCTTGTGTGCAGCCGGGGCCGTGTCCATACACTGAGCTTCCCAGATCTTCCCGTGGGAAGAACTGAAAAGTGCTGCTTACTCCAGGCAGAGGCTGCCTCGTAGCCCAGAGGCAAAGGTTTCTTAGGGTGGTATTCTTTTATCTGATCAATAAATTTTTGCATAGTTGGGACAGAATTAGACAAGCTTTTGAATGTGAGACATTCTTCTTCAGGTCTGGGGAGAAAAGCAAGCACAATGACAAGCTGTAGTAAGTAGTTGGTAGAGCCATGCAATTTAGGGGAGGGGGGAAATTCCTGGGGGTAGCAGACAAACAATTAGCAGAAGAACTAAGCTGATTACTGGGAGATCAAGATGCATCAATGGGAAGGAGGGTTGTTATCAGCTTTCCTGAAGAATTGTGGAATCAGGTATGTTGCAATGTGCCATTAACCAGGGTTGGTGTGAAGTCCTTAGTTCCTAGTGTCCAGGCAATTTAGGAATTTTTGTTCCCAAGCTTGCCATTGAAAGGTGCTAGTGAGGTTAGAGAGGGCTCAGCTGTTGCTTTTCTCCTCAGACCTGAGGAAGAACACCTTGCATTTGAAAGCTCATCTAACTTTGCCTCTCATAATTCCTGGACCGTCACAACCACAACATCACTCTTAACACTTTCTTAACCCAGAAGTAGTGCAGTCATCTCTGTGTTGCTTTAGGTAGGGTAAGCAGCAAGGAAGCAGGCTAATCGACACTGGCACTCAGTAGTGCTGTTGACTCCCTCCAAAGTAAAGTGGTGTGTGGACCCCATCTAGGAGCTTCCTATTGCAGGCTGCTCGCTAAAGGGCACTACAGCCTGGACTGAGTTTAGCCTTTCAGCAAGGCCTGTGTGTGCAAGGCCTGTGCGTGCAGAACGTCTGTGCAGTCATGTTCCTCATTTGGATGCAGTGTTACTCAACTGTGAGGCCATCCACGCAGGCCTCTGTTGGCCTTGACAGAGGCCAGCCCTCTGTAGAGGTTCAGTTTGTGGCCCCTTGGCTAAGCAACAAAGCTAAAACATGACCATAATGCAGCAGAGGTCCTGACTGGCTTGGGACCCTGCTCAGTGGCATAGTTCATGCTGCCATGGTGCCAGTCCTGCCAAGGGCATGAACTTGCAGCCACATGCCCTGCTGACTGTGCAGTGAATAGCACTGTGATCCCCAGAGCCCTGCGTAGAGGCACAGGGAGCCTGTGCCTTGATCCTGACTGAATGCAGCCAGACCGGGGTGCAGAGCAAGGAAGGGCTTTCAGCCTCTTATCTCTGAAAGGCCAGCACCACCAGAGTGGTAACCGGGAAGAGTGGATGAAGGTTCGTCTTTCAGCAGGGAGGGGGGGTTACAAGTGCAGAGGTGCGAACAGCAGGGATGAGATGAGCCCAAGAGCCTGCCACCCCAACCCATGCCCAGAACCTGCAGGTTATTCACAATGCCTAAATAAAGCCCTGTCACTGATCTCATGGGTTTGAGCTCCCAGCACTGTCTTCGGTTCCCTCGTGGCACAAAGCAAACGGGGAACTCCTTGAGGACTCCCCCAAAGGCACAGATGGCTCCACATCACCAGCTCTTGCCCACTTTGTGGTGATGGCACTTTGAGGGCCAGGAGGAAGCCTGCCAGACAGCAGTGCAGTTGGCATAGGGACTGAGATCATTTTCAATCACTTCAGTGACTCTTTTGGCTCCTGATCAGCCTAGAGTCTGGGGTCAGAGCCATCTTTTCCCTTCTTCTGTCCTAGCAGTGTGGAACAGCTGAGAGCTGGGCCTAATTTAATGAGAAGAGTTGGCAAAATTCATTGCATCCTCAATTACCCCACAATTCACTGCATCCTCAATTATCCCAAAGCTGGTTCAGCCTGTTATTGGCCAGATCCTTCATATGGTGGTGGAGGGGGGGATGTCCTTTGGGTCCAGGTCAGAGGTTTTGTCTCTCCTTTAACAGCAAGCCCTCACTTGGCTCTGCAGTAGTCTCTGCACTGTTCCTGTCTTCTCTCTGTAGCTCATCAAGGCTGCTGGTCCCTTGCTGATACCTGCCTCTCCGTGGAGAGCAGAGAGAGCCAAGCTGTGCTGGATGGACTGAGCAGAGGCAATGACAGGAGTGCAGAAGGCGTTGGCATGTAGCCCGTGTGCTCCTAGGCTGAGGTGGACCTGGTCAACCAGCTGGCTCAGCCGTGGTACACAAGCAGGCAGAGAAGTGCATCTTTCACAACAGCCAAGGAAGTGAATGCCCCTAAAATCTGCAGCACTGCGGTTTGCCTGGCTGGTTCTTATCCCTTCCAGAATGGGGAGAGCAGAGAAGTGGGTGAAAACCAGGAAGGTTCATGACCCTGCCAGCCTGAACGGGCCCAGGCTGGACAGCCCTTTAATGGGAGGAAAGTTCCTTCCGCAGAGAGCCTAAATAGCCAAGATAAAGCATAGGGGGTGAGGCTCCAGAGACCAAGTGACATGGCCAAAACCAGGTGGAAAGGCCGTGATGGAAGACAGACTCAAAATGCACCTCATCTCTAATGTAACCCTGGTGTCTGCCACACATTTCCTCTGCAGATGGAAAGCCCATCTCCACCGACGTGATTGTGCTGGGACGGACCAACCTTCTGATTCCTCACACCCAGCCCCACCACTCGGGCGTGTACGTCTGTCGTGCTAACAAACCCCAGACCAGACAATTTGTTACGGCGGCTGCTGAGCTCCGGGTCCTTGGTGAGTGGTGAGAAGAAACATTTTGGACACAAATATGACTCCGGGTAATTGCCAATGGCCTGGAGTTGTGTTCAGGAGCTCCCTGGCAGAGGATGCTCACAGCCCCTGCTGTTTCTGAGAGGGGACATAATCAGAATGAATTACTGTCTGGTTTAGGGAAGATTTCTCAGCAGCATAATAC